CACACACACACACACACACACACACACACACACACACACACACACACACTAACACACACGCGCGCGCTAATCCACACAAACGCACAAAGTTTACACAAAGGACTAATCCAACTGACACATATTTTTTTTATTTTCACCTTGTTACATTTTTTCATTTCAATTAAACAATAATAATATTTGTGGATGAGATTTTATGCCTTGAAATGTAGGATCCGATCCTATAAAATTATAATATTCTCATGAAGCTTCACTTCTCTCTTCATTTTAATTTTGGTACTACTTACAAATAAAGCTCATAAATAAAAATAATAAAAATAAAAAATCTTTATTGCATTTCAAAAATTATAGTACAATGAACATGGTTGGAGCCCTCTAGTAAGTAAAATGTACCTGTGTCAGAGGACTCCGCTCTTCCATAAATAGAACTTCAGATACAATTTTTAAAATTACAATTAGAAATTGGTTAGTAATTTAAAAAGAAAAACAAATGCTTAGTTGTTAATGTTAGTTGGTACAAATGGGTACTTGTTTATTTTACTATTTAGGTTTGAATTCTCCAACTTTACCAATTACGGGTTAGAGGGAACTTATTAAAAATGTGTGTGTGTCGTATGTGAGCGTGTGTGTGTGTATGTGTGTGTATGTGTGCATGTGTATGAGTGTATTTATGCGAGCGTGTGAGTGTGTATGTTTCAGTGTTTGCGGCTACTGATGTCTGAGTGCGTGTGCATATTGTCACGTGATGAACTTTAATAATGCTTCCGTTTGTTCATAATTAAGCGTTTTAAGATAATCAATAAGAGTATGTTTACAATTATATGAGGTTTGAGGATATATATTTAAGTGCTTATTAAGTTGATTAAATAAATGAGAGGCCTGTTTTTCATTTTGTCTACTAGCGAAGGTACTATTTGTGCGATGAGATACTCTGAAAGTTCTACGATTTTTCTGGTTATTTTCGCTGTATGGCAACTGTTTGTGAAATTTTAAGGTCGCAAGAAGGATGTATAGTTTTCTCACAGAGAGCACATCACTAATGGAGTACAAACGGTCGGTTGGGAAGCTATACTTCTTAAAATGTATTACCTTCAGCAAAGAACGTTGAGCTCTTTCAACATCAATAAAATGGGTCTTTACAGCTCCACCCCATATGGGGATACAATAGGTTATTATGGACTGCGCCAGTACAATGTACACTCTTCTAAGAAGGTACGCCGGAAGTACATGTCTTAGACTTTTGAAGATCCACGTGAGTTTTCTGATCCTATTAGAAACTGCGTCAATTTGTTGAAACCATGATAATCTTTGGTCTATAATGATGCCAAGGTATTTAGTGGATGATAGTTTTTCAATGTGTGGACATGTACAGGGATCACGTCGTCCGGGTTCACAGCAATGAGTTTTAATTACAAAATTACTCGCTGGCTGTGAACTAATACATTTAGAAAAACATATAAAGTTTGTTTTGTCGTTGTTTAGGGTCAACAAATTATCCCTCAGCCAGCAACAGACAGTAGCAAGTCCCTTCTCGGTTACACTCTGAAGTTTATTCCAGGTAGCTGCATAAAAGATAAGAGCGGTATCATCAGCATAAGAGATGACAGAGGCGTTACCAAGTCTCATGTTACAGAGGTCATTTAGATAAATTAAGAAGAGGGTTGGACCCAACACACTGCCCTGTGGAACGCCAAAGGTTACATCAGTGTAATCGCTTACGTAATTGTCTATTTTTACTCGTTGTTTCCTGCCGCTCAAGTAACTCCTCAACAAATCCAAAGGAACACCCCTAACACCTATTCTCTCAAGCTTAAGTAAAAGAGTGGTAACTGAAACGGTATCAAAAGCCTTCCTAAGGTCCAAAAAAACAGTCAAGCATTTGTCACCGCGGTCCACGTGATTTACAATTTGCTTTGTTAGTGCTTCGACTGCGTCTTCGGTGGATTTTCCTTTTCTGAACCCGAACTGGCTAAGAGATAATATGCTAAATTTTTCGAGGTAGGCAAGGAGTCTAGTATTTAGAAGTTTTTCCAATATTTTAGAGATAGACGAAAGAACAGAGATTGGTCTATAGTTGGTAATGTTGCTTTTAACACCACCCTTGTACACTGGAGTTACAGTAGCTAACTTTAGGGCAGAGGGGACAACACCAAGGGTGAAGCACAGATTTACAAGATGTGTTATTACAGGAATTATGTGGAATTTGGCTAGTTTCAGAAAACTGTTTGTAATATTGTCCCAGCCTGGGGAACTGTTCGATTTAAGGGACATAAGAACAGTCTGTACCTCTTGTGGGGAAACACCTAACAAGCCGAATGATTGTATCGGTGGTGGGACCGTTGGAGTAGATAATATGTCGCCACCAACTGGCGGGGTGATTGACTCTGCAAGTTTTTTTCCTATATTAGCAAAGAACTCATTTACGTTTGCAACCGATTCACTGGGGCTTGATTTGGAATTTAATAGTATACAATTGTCCGTTTTCGTTAGGTTAATATTTGCAATATCTTTAACAGCATACCAAAATTTTTTAGGATTATTTAGGGAGTTAGCAATTTGAGTACGATCATATAAGCGTTTTTGTTTTTTAATTATATTATTGCAATGATTTCTGTACCGTTTATACGCAGTCTTCAAAATTTCATCATATGGGTTAAGTTTTAGATTGTATTGCATTTTATTTCTATTTCTAATACAGGCTAAAATTCCAGTAGTTATCCAAGGTTTAAGGCATCTTTTATTTTTAGGAATATTTATTATTTTACAATTTTCCCTAAGAGCTAATTTCATCTTATAGATTAAAGTATCGATTACATAGTCAGGATCTTGACTATAAAGTAAATCTGGAAGGTTTTTTGTAGCTAAACTAAGTACAGCCTCCTTATAGTCAATGATTGTTTTAGTTTTCTGAGCGATAAATTTAGGTTTTTGATTAGCCAACACTAATAGTAGCATGTGATGGTCCGTTATAGTTGTATCGAAAACAGCTATATGAGCAGATATAGATTTATTAGTGAGTTTTAACAAAAAATGGTCAATACAGTTATTCTTTCTGGTGGGAAAATGGTGCCCCGCGGCAAGGCCGTGCATAGCTAGCATATCAAGGTAATTCGTTTTATTATTTCTTTCGTATGTATTGTCAAGTATTCTATGGGAGATATTTATGTTTATATCACCAGTAATAATAAGATCTTTATGTTTATTTAATGTGTTTATATGTGCACTTAATGAGGTAATGAAATCGTCGGCATTGCGCATTGAGGGCGATCGATATACTCCCAAAATGATTGAGCCATGCAATTCAATTTGTAAACATGATGCGTGGACTAAAATTGGTTCTGTTACAAGAAATTTCACTGTATTACGAATATACGCCACAACACCATCATTTTGATTAAGGAGATTAGCTGTTAGACTAGATGAGTAGCCTTTAAGCAAGGGTATTGGTTTATCTTTATCCAACCTACATTCGGTAAGTATAATTATATCTGTATTGAAATTCAGTGTTGAGAGTGCAATTTGCAGGTCATCGAAATTACGATAGATACTTCTTATATTCTGTGTAATCACCGTTAAGTCATTTCCTTTAATTTTTACATGTTTAGTTAAATCGTCTACATTACATTGAAAAGAATTTGCCATGGCAGAAGCATCCAATTCATTTTGATTTATTAATGTATTATCCATACCAGAAAATATTATTTTTATGATTTACGTTTGAAGATGGGGTTATTTTAAGTATTTGTATAAACGGTGAGTAAGTCTTATTGAATATGTCGATGTGAAATTGTTTAAAAATAAGTGTAAGACATGTGTATGTGTGAATGTATGAGGTAGTTGGTCGACAGTCGTATTCAGTGTAATGTGTAATGTGTGTGTAGTAATATTTATATAGGTGAAACACAAGGAAGTAAGTTGAAAGCAAAAATAAAAACAAAGACAAAAACAAAAACACTAGGACTCCAGGTACAATGCAAAATGGAAAATGATCTAGTCATATTTGTATCAGGTGGTGAACCTGAGCTTCGCAGACAATAGGGATAACTGGTGAATTATTATCTTTTGTCACATAGATTTTTCCATAGGCTGTCCAGCAGTAGGTATAGTTCTTGGACTTCGCAAGGTCTCGTGCAAGATAATGTAGTCTCGAACCTTTGGCAGTCAGATGTTCGGATACGAAGATCGGAGTTTCTTCAGATAATCTACAACCCATGTGTTTAGCGCATAGCTTGGTCTTGTGTGTATTATTGAAAGCTTTACACAATTTTAGGATATTTGTTTTCAAAATAGTTGAATTGGTTTCGATAACAATGGGTGAGTTTTGTATATTTTCTTTTTTACCGCGTATACGGTAGATATCCGTAATAAGTGACTCTTGTACGGTAGCACCAACATTTTTAAACAGGCATACAACCATCTTCAATAGGTCCTCTTTAGTTTCATTTGGTTGCTTTGGCACATTTTTTATTTCCAGGTTCGATTTACGTTGTTCTCTTTGAAGATCTTCTATTTTGACCTCCAATAAATTTATATAACTTTTGTCTTCTTTTGACTGTTTCTCTAATACTTCAATTTTGTTTTGAAGCTTCTCATTCTGTGTCGTAAGAAATTGAATAGATTTTTCAATGTTTAGGTTTGTGTCCTGTATTTCTCTTTGGGCTGTAGAAATTTTTTTTAATTCCTTAGATTGGTCTGTCAGGAGAGAAGTGATCATTGCTTTCATCTCAGCCCTGAAATCCTCCAATTCGTGCTTGAACTCGTCATCCCTTCTTCTCTTAGGTCGCGAAGAAATAAAGTTTGGCGGAGCCGTGTACTGCGTGTTGTAATGACACTCTGAGTCAGAGAGCGATTTATTCAGCGAGTCATTCATATTGAGCGCTCAGTGGTTGTCGTTGTACCAGGGCGACAGAAAAGCGGTGGAGTTTTAAGAAATAGTAAGCAATAAAGCTCTCTGAGATTCCCTGATTACTGACCAGTCTAGGTTTGGACCTTAGAGTCAACTTCAATTGTGTTCTGGTACTTGTAATACAAAAATTTCACCTGTTAGACTACAGGTTAGATTGGTTAGCACAATAAAAAGAAATTTGTATTACGTCTCAAATAAACCATTGCTTATTAATCATTGTTTATTATTAATCATGTTAAATCATTATTTATAGTACTTTTAGCTACGTGTTCTGCAGTAAATTAAAACTATTACCCAAAGTTAGGGTAAGTGTAACTAAGTATACCTACTTTATCAAACGTTGAAACACGTGTTTGCTATCATCCTAGTAAGTTCAACTTACAATAAATAACTTACTCCATAATTCAAAATCCGCAGTACATTACTATCGCTTCTGCTGTACGTACCTCTGTCATCTGAATACCGTTATCTACCCGAAGACACTCCCGGAAACAATTTCAATGAGAACACCGGCCATGGTCGTTACACGATCAAAAACGAAGACCGGCCATATCACGCACTTGTATTTTACGGTACTCTCTACTGCTCCGGGGTTTTAATTACCAGTCGATCTGTAATCACAGCTGCCAGCTGTTTTATTCCACGGTTGAAGCAACCATGTTTTGTGAAACTGGGAGCAAATTTCATACAAGGCAAGGGGTAAGTTAGAAACGATACAAGATTTTATCTCCTACCTTGTTGAGAGCGCGTGCGTGTGTGTGTGTCAGGTGCTGTTTGGTAAAAATGTTGTGCGTCATCGTAGTTCTGATTTAAAAGGCAATTCCTTAATTTAGATTTTAGGTTTTCATGATTATAACATTTGTTTCCTTTGGGAAATGTAACTACATTTTCCAGGTCTGAAATCGCGTGTACTTGTTAACTGACTCATGCTTGTAATATTGATTGTTGAATATTATGTTGTTTTACTATCATTATATTGTTATGATTATTAATACAAAGATCGAACACAAAGAAAAAACATCTGACAGGACCCCAACCTGTGTCTGCTTTGCCAATCTAGGGCAACCGCTCTGCCAACTGAGCTACAGATAGGGTCAGCAGACCTTACGAATTTTTGTATGCATTTGTTACAGATCTTTGTTTTTTTTTGTTGTAACATCACACAGTACAAGGACTTTAATTTTTTTGTTGTAACATCTGAGTCAGGTTCGACCGTGAACAAAAGAAGCCGAATCGTCGATTTGTTTAAAAAAAAAACATACTTGATTTTCAATGTGAAAAAAAAAAATTCATTCCTTACTGTATCTCTTATGTACGATTGATACTTGAAGACTTGTCAAGATTGAAGTACCATATTCTCTATTTCTTATACCATATTCGGCACTGGAAAGGTAAAACGTCGGTTTTAGAAAATATTACAAGAGAGCTATTTAAAGTAATTTTTTACGGAAAAAAAATTAAAACTATAATTTTATTTTTTATTTTATTTAATGGAAAAGCTGAAACTTTCTAGTTCAAGTTTAGGCTAAAAAGTGGTTGAAAACCAAATACAAAGACCAGACAAACAAACACATAGAAAACTTCGTGAGGTTCGCTGATTTGTTCCGTTGCTTTGTTCGCATAGCTTCTGGCACGGTTTGCTAGAAGAAATCGGTTCGAATCCGGCCGGATCGAAGGATTTTTTTGTAAGTGTTCGATCTTAGTATTAATAATTATAACAAACTAGTGGAGTACTAGTGGAGTGGAGTAAACGTAACGTCGATTTGTTTTAAAAAACAAATATACGCGATTTAAATCCGGAAAAATAGTTTCATTTCCTAGTGGAGTAATTTCACAAAAATAATTGAATATCAATGCAATTCAAATTTAATAAAAATTAGAGCTTTTTTCGTAAACAAAATTACGTTAAATCGCTCTACTGTAATATTTCCAAAAGCACGATAGACCATTTACCTTTCCAGCATCAATATTATAAAACAAATGTGTTTTTTTATTTCAGGCAAATTCTGAATGTGCTGGAAATTAAAATACATGAATTTTTTGGACACCTTACTGAGATCGACAACGACATTGCTATGCTTATCCTTGAGGTTTAAAATTTTGTATTTATGTTAACATTTTATGAGTTCTTAAAACCCCACTAACGAGTTTCCTTTCCATTATATATTGTATATCATACCGTCCTGTCGTATTTCTCTAAAATACGGTTTTCGCGTTCCGTAATAGAGCGTCTGAGACTCGTAAAAACGGAAGAGCAGAGGCTATGCATTCCTATTAAAAGGACATTAAAATAAGAAAAAATTGCTACTACCGTGCTCATCTCATTACCGTATTTTCCATCTGCACGATGCACTCTGGCGTTGTAATACGAAATGAAAAAAAAAACACTAATTAAGAAAAATGGTTTTTAGAGACACGTTGATTTCGAACATGGAATCCAAAAGGCGTTAATTGTAGAGTCGGACATAGCTCTCAGACCTGGTACTTCAATTGAAGCTTCAGGATGGGCTAGTCAAGTATGTAATTAAATACATATAAATATTACTCAAACTTATTCAATTGACACAGAAAAAAGAAGGCAATTTAAGCGTCTAGCAGAGACATCTATCGCATAGTCCAAGAATTACTACACCAAAACATACCGAATTTTCTAAGCCTGGTGAACTCGATTCGCACCTTTGCATGTAGTGCAACGATTTTCACATAGATGGCTACGCAAAGAAATTTTCTTGAAAACAATCCTAGTTTTCAATAGCTTCAAAGAAAATAATTTTCGAAAATTCTGGAACTAAACTTCTTTCTAACAGTAATAATCCATTGTAATTAGCAACTATTCTAAAAATTCTCATAAAAGTAGGTATCATTAAGCCGTCACGTATCTTAGCGAGATACAGTGTCCCTAACGTTTTTGGTATTGTAACGTCCTAGAGTCACAGGGTGTCTCTAATGTGCAGCTGTGTTTTTATCGACCATAAAATTGGTGGCAAATTTTAAATTTATAAGAAAAATTATAAATTTTTACCAAAATCTTTAAGGACACTGTGTGTCTGTAGGACACGGCATGGGTTAAGACCCTGAGTAAATAGAGAGAGTTTCTCTTAAAAAATATGTTTTCAGAGTGTACACGATTCCAGAATATTGTTGGTGCAAAGCCGTACCATATGATTTGGTCTCAAATGAGAGTCATCGATCAAGCCAAGTGCCAAGCTATACACAGAAGCTTAATCACCCACTCAAATTTTTGCGCTAGTTATGTTGTCGTAAGTATATTATAAATTCATGTAAGAACTACGTATTTGCGTAATTAGTATACAGCTCATGGTTAGGGAGTTCGATAAGTAATACACTAAATTTCTCATAGATTAGAGGCAGATTTCTCATTGATGACGCTACGATAAAAAAGTCGTTGAAAAAACCAAATACAAAGATACGACGCAAGCACATAGAATAATTCGTAAGGTCTGCTAGTTCGTTCCATGGCTTAATTGGTACAGCGTCTGGCACGGTAAGCTAGTAGACATCGGTTAGAACCAAGGCCGGATCCAAGGATTTTTTCCGGAGTGTTCGATCTTTGTATTAATAATTATAACAAACTAGTTGAATAATTTCACAAAACATAATTGAATATCAATTAAATAAAAAAATTAAATAGATTGAATAGCGACATCACTCGCCAGGGCTGGTTACTGTAAAGATATCTAACTGGGTGATAAAACTTTCATAGATTTCTCATAAATGGCGCTACGACTAAAAAGTCGTTGAAAAACCAAATACAAATAATACACCAGTTACCATAGTAAATTTAAAAAAAAATACCACATTTTACATTTAATGATTTTGACATTGATTTGGGAAGTCACTTAATTATTAATTTAAAAATAAACTATCATTGTTTTCATCAGTTTAGATCTAGCGTGTTATAGCGTGTTTTAGATTTGAAATTTTTCAGCGACAATCTACATTAGGCACAATATTTCGCACTTAAAACCAAGTACTGTCGTAACTCAAAAAATTGTAGATTTGAGAAAACACCATTTGAAAATCCAAAAAAACACTGAATGGATCTTATTGTGAATAGTGTGATTATTTTTATTTATTCATAATAATTAGTTATTAATAAATTAGAAAAAACCTTTGTAAATACGGTTTTATTCCACAAACATATTTGACATGATGAATTAACAGTATCTTAGCAACATCACATTATAGCAAGAGTAAGAGCAAACGCCATAAACATCTCTAAAGTGTTGCGATCACCACATTCTACCGGCCTAGCAAATAATTCCCGTAACGAGCCGGGTGACGCCGTTCCCTAATCGTATATTCTCAGGGGGTTCAGTATTACTATTTCATTATCATTATCTGATTCAGTCACATTTTCAGCTTCAGATTCTGGGTCTGCTACTTCAAAGGTGCTTTCGTAAAAGTCCTCATTATTTATGGTTTCATCTAAAATTATCTCACTGTCTTGATTTAATTACGCTAAATGCCGGTTTGAAACTGTTGACTCACAACCATCCCCAAGGTGAACATAGGCATAGTCTGGGTTAACATGAAGCAGAGTCACCTCCTCAACAAGACGGTTGATATTTATTAGCACTATTGAATTTTCGCATTGCCACTCGTTCAAAACCAGACTCCATTCGAAGACCACCTGGTGCTCGAAAACAGTGACAGTCCGTCAGCAATATCATTTTGCTTGCCAGGACGGTCCACAATGTTATACTTGAATAGCGGCAACTCAAGACACCAGCGTTGTGTTTTCTCATTCTTAATTTTGCTTGTAAGTTCATTATTAAACATCTTTGGTCAGTTACAAGCCGAAATGGTTTACCAATAACGAAACACCGCTATTTCCTTAGCAATTCTACGACAGCGTAAGCTTCTTTTTCAATCGCCAAGTGATTATTTTCGCTTTTGTTTCGCATTATGAAGAAGAAAGCAACCGGTCGCGAAGCTTGGGATAAAGTTGCCACTACAGAATGTTTAACACATCTGTTTCCACAGTAAATGCAGCGTTATGGTCAATAGCATGAATAGTGACTTGGCAATATCTGATTTAAATTCTGAGAAGCTACAAATTAGATGGCGGCGTTAAGCTTTAGTAATGGCAGCTAACGGTCTGTGTCTGGTTAAATGACGCAATCATTTATATTGTATCCCAGACTGTTATACAGTTTTGTTGGAATTTACTCTTTTCTTTGTTGAGTGTTAAACCATTTCTGTGCTGCCTCCATAATCGTTTAAAATTTTCATCATGTTCATGCTGAGTCTTGCCGCAAACTGTAATATCGTCAAGATAAGCTTAAGTTCCTTTACGGCCTTCCTTTCGGATTACTCAATCAATAATCCTTTGAAAGTTTGAGACGCCATTAGTGGCACCAAATGGAATGCGTTGGAATTGGTAGATATTTCCCAGAGCTTCGAAGACCGTAAAATGACGTTCTTCGGGAAAATGGGGACTTGACGCGCGCTTTGCAAATCTCTTCCATGTTTGGTAGAGGGTAAACATCTAAGTGCGTATATCTGTTTACGATTTGGAGAATAAGTTTATTGTGGTTAGCATTCTTTATCGTAAGGACTTGTGCTCTACAGGGTAATGTACTTTCTTCGATTATACCATTAGCCAAAAGTTTTCTTACCTCCTCTTCAATGAACTTCTTATCATCCTCACTCTCTTTGTATCTCCTTGTACTCACTTTTCATTATACCATCTATAATAGATAAGAAGATATTTTGATTTTCTTAATATGTACTCTAGGAGCGCCGTTTAAACGACAACGGTGGACCAATAACGTTCAAGGATCTACTCATCGGCATCGTATCTTACGCTGCTCACTTCAATGATACACCCAATTACGCTATAATATCGAATGTTTCATATTTTAACAGGTAAAAACTGGTGCTTTTTTTTTAATTCAGGTACTCTTTAGATCAATAATATTTCAACAAATATTGTGTTTAAAAAAGATTGCAGCGTTTCCGTGGCAAATCGATTGTTAATAGCCGTCGATGATAATTTATGGACATCGATTTTAGAACTACATTTAAACGTTACTTCTTAATAATTACAGATGGATAACACTGAACACCAAATATTTTATAAATAAATATTGCATTAACGGACACGAAACTGTAGAAACTTTCGAAGATTACTAGATGCAAACCCACATCGTATCAACAGCCGAATTTAAAAAAAAATTGTATATAGTAAGAACATTTGTTTTGCTCCGTATAAATACCAATTTACCGTGAGTACATCGTACCTCTACTATGACACCGTGAGTTTACAGTGTGAAAGTCAAAATAATTTACTCAGACTTTATGATGGCTTCCTGATACATTATTGTAGAGATTAAAACATTTGTAAACTTACTGCAAAGAATAAAAATTTGTCACTCACAATGTTGTCAATTGGCATACTTTGAACACTAAGCATATAAGAGGTAACTACCGAACTGCAAATGAAATCTCCCGAGGGGCTCATGCGTGTGAGTAGTTTGTGTTTACCGGGCTACCAAATACCGCTTATGACCAAAATAACAGTTTGATAGCACTGAAAGTGTCATTACGACTATTTCTACTACTAATTGTCTGTCATACATTTTAGTGGAAACAGTGGTTGAAGACAATACAATAAATTTTATTACAATTAAATTTATACATTATTGTGTGTCACGACCAAATATGAATGTTCCCAACCGCAACGCGTTGCCTCTACTTGCATTGAGCTCATGATACGGATAGTGCTGCATAATGGTTGTTTTGTTATCGTGTAGCTTATAGTGTTGTTTTATATTGTTTTTAAATTTGCCAGTTCAACCAATTTTTATTTGCTTAAAATATATTTACATATAAGTTACTTTTAAATATGTAGTTTTTTGTACATGTAGAACTGCTTGCCCCAACTAATTTTAAAATAATTAACATAAATAATAAATGTGAGAAATTAGATCAAGAATGCTTTCAATGATACCCGATGCAACGATTTACCGTTCCCACTATGTGACGTCAATGCTGACAGTTGTACACGCTTGCAGAGCGCTGACGCTGCACGGCGTGTAACGCGCTGATACGATGTGCTGATGATGTGCCTCGTGTAACGCTGTGTTGTATAGAGACCGGTACCTATTTGGCAATTCTTGAGTATGTATTATGCCGTCATCAAATAATAATACATCATACAATAATACAGTGCTTTTATTTTCTCAATGATCCTCGGAAAACTTAGTGTTTCGGCTGTCGTCAGACGCTTTCAGTCGACTTACAATTGTAAGTGGGGTGCAGTCGCAAAGAGTTGTACAGCCAATATTATTATAAGTAAATGTGACTATAGTGTATCTGTGTTTGCAGCCCATTAAATAAGTAAATCAAATTCTAGTACGTTAGTCTCGCATAACTGGTTTTGGTTTTTTTACACCAGTATTCTCTGTTATTAACTGCCTCCATGGCCGAACGGTTACCACGACAGACTGCTACGCCGAGGTCACAATGTCGATTCCCGTGCCGAGAGAAATATTTGCATGGCTTCATTGACTTAAAAATAAATTGACGACGGGTCTAATACAAACACCACGAAAAAAATGTCCCAAGTCAACCTTTTTAAACGTAGTGACATTTCAAGGAATATGAAAAAGCTAAAACGTAAAAGTGAATTTAAATTGTAATATCATCGCAGTACTGTCTAATTTTGCTTGCTTCGCTGTCAGTCGAACAAACGAAGACTAAAGCGTGAATGACGCTCTATATACAATTTTAACGCCCTATAAGTTCGGACACTTTTTAGCGCGAACCCGACGTCCGTATAATTGTAAGTCAATGCATGGCTTACATTTATTTCTCTCGTTAGTTTGAGAGTAATTTGTGGTTGTTTGTGTGTATGTCCATGGCACTCGCGACACAGGGTTTTACCTAGTGCGGGGCTATGTTGAATGTGTGCGTTATCATTATTTCCAGTATTACTCGCATTATTTACTATAGAGAGTATTTATTCGGAGACCATAGATATTTTGTTGTTGTTATATTTATGAAAGTTTAAGTTATTAAAAATACTGTTTATTGTTCATTTGTTTAATGCTCTTGTTTGATTTGTGTGAAGCTACAGGTGGAAACTGTAATTGGCTTTATGTATCTTTCCTTGTTTATATTAAATGGATTTATATTGAAGCTGGTGGTTTTTCACGAATAAATAAATAATAAATGTTATAACTAATTTTATAATTATAAAAGCTGTGGACATAACCAATGTATGTCTTAAAATAAAAATGTTCTCTTTTCTTAAGTCATTATCAATATCTTGCATTTTGTTTGTGAAAATTATTAAAATTAAGAGATCGCAAGGATCAAAATATCACTAAAACAATTTGCTTTTTATAATTATTAATACAAAGATCGAACACTCAGAAAAAACACTCGGATCGAAGGAATTTTTTCTGAGTGTTTTTTCTGAGTGTGCGATCTTTGTATTAATAATTATAACAAACTAGTGGAGTAATTTCACA